GAGCACACAGTGTACGCTGATCCATGTTCCCCCACCCTCCTTGGGGTAAAATGCTGCAAATGTTAGACACACTACACTACACACTAGTGTAGGACTGGAAATCCCACCTAACAGAAACTAAAGATAGAGATGCTTTTAAGTAGGCCCATGCCGGAATTTCGCCAGGATTCCCTAAATTAATGTACCTACTCCTGCAAAACAATGTAATGGCATCCTGAAGTAGTCAAGATCTCAACTAAAATATGACACATTGTTAGAGCACCAGTTCAGGGGGATGGGTGACAACAGCTAACAACTTCTGGAAGCATATAAGGTGCTTCTTGGCAATGTCCTCATTGACCACTTCAGAGTAGGCTCTTCCACCTCAGAATTCCTCCAAAGGATGAATTCTAGATCTTCTCATATGAGGGAAGAGATTTGGGGAAGGAGGGGCATTTAACAAAAAAGCAAATACAAAGAGTAAAACAACAATTTACTTTGTAAACAATATCCTCTGTTCCTTATTACAAGCACAAATATTTGCATTTAAATAAGAATGTTCACCCAGAGCTTTTCTTTCTTTTTGATGCTCAAAGTAATTTTGCTCTGTTTAATTACATCATAGTCTATTGCTATGGAAATGACTGATGTCACAAATTCAATATTATCACTTAACAGCAGGATCAAGTAGGAGGAACAGATGGGCTGAGAGAGAAAGAAAACCCTTGTTCAGGAGGAGCCTCAGCATTGTCAACTGTAATTAACAAAAATTAATTATTTTAAATACTTTCACAGTTTACACAAGATAAGAGTGTGTGATCAAATCGGCTTTCAAAGTGCAGTGCAGAAGGAGTGGCTTTCAGTGCCAGCTCTGTATAGTTCAAAGGGCTGCAGTAGCCACTTTTTTTAGCCACAAGAATGAAGCCAGTTACAATGCGAATAGCAATTTTATTTTTTTAAATTCCAGATTTCATAAGAGTAATGTCACAGCCATGAAAAATTATTTAAAAACAATTGTTAGGGGGAGGTAGGGCTCACATGGGACAATACAAGTTATGATTATTAACGTATAAAGCATTATCCATTACATAGCTTCAAAATATATGTATTATGGATACTGTAACAGTAGCCATTGTTATTAGCAAATGCTCACCCAGTCATGTGACAGGGAACCTCTGTAACCTTAATCCCTGATAGGTAACTGGGACCAGGAAATAAAAAGTTATCTCTTCCCAGTTCTCTTGCGTGCCACACTTTTATTACAGACCCCTCACACAGAATGTAATAAAAAGCTAGATGTAGCTAGAATCATAGAGTCATCCATTCCAGCCATTTAAATGTGTTGAATGAAGACAGGCATGAAGTTTAAATCCACATGCCAAACTTGTAAATTTAGGGGATCTGGAGACTCTAGTATAGAAGTATAACTGAGAGGGGATGCAAACACTATGTTTAAAAACAATTTGTTTTGTTGCATTCTACTAAAGTGGTTACAAAACCCCTGGCATTAACTGTGTCAGGTGCTCTGCATTCTTATATCCTCAGATTAGGGGGTTAATATAGTTTTTAGAATATCTACAGAAGATTAACCACATCTTAATACATGAAGAGAGATTGCATGTATGTATTTATTTTTAATTATATAGCATTAAAGCATTATTTAAAAAATAACCAAATGTACCCAAAATGTAGATGAGTAATTTGGGGCTCTGGTATATATACAAAAACCAGTGCTTCAAATGCAATGCTGCAACACATGTAGTTTACAGGAATCTTTAATAAATGCAACAGAGTTGGATATATTTTCTATGTCTGTATTTCACCCTTGATGAGGACAAACAATTGAACTGCTGAGAGTCATATGACCACAAATAGTTTCTGTCATTCAGCAGCTAGCAACATTTATCAATATGTGGACATTTGCCAAATGATCATCAGCTACACAAGGTCACATAAACCTGCTGTGGCCAAATGAATTGTGTTTCTGAAGAGGGCGGGATATTCTCCCTTCCCCATTATGTGTGGATAGTCTTCTGTGCTTGTTTTCAAGTGAGCTAATATCTCACTCACCTATCTGAAATTTAACTGGGATTTTTTTTTAAAGTTGCATGACTTTAAATTGGCAGCAGAAACCTGATTTGGGGTCTAATTCAGAGTCCAGTGGAGTCAGTGGAAGTCTTTCCATTGGCATCAATGAGCTTTGGATCAGGTCCCTGGAAAACAGCCTGATATTTAAAAGGGACAAACTCCCAGGAGCTCTCCCAGAAATCTCTCAGAAATCAGCGGGACCTGCTGAATGTCCAGCACTTCTGAAAACCAGGTCACTGATTTAGGAGCCTACGTATTGACTTAGGATCTGAGGGTATGTCTACACTACAGCGCTAATTCGAACTAACTTAGTTCAAATTAGTTAATTCGAACTAAGCTAATTCGAATTAGCGCAGCTAGACTTAAAAACTAGTTCGAATTAGCGTTTTGCTAATTCGAACTAGCATGTCCACATTGAGTGGACCCTGAGCAGAGGTTAAGGATGGCCGGAAGCAGTGCCGGCAGGGCATCAGATGAGGACTTAGAGCGTGGAGCTGCTGTCTCAGGCTAGCCGAGGGCTGTGCTTAAAGGGTCCCGACCCCCACCCCGGACAGACAGTTCTCAGGGGTGCCCCGCTTGCAAAGCAGTCCTGGCTTGGATTGCCCGGAGTACCCACACTTGGCACATCACAGCACTCGGCCATCAGCCCGGCTGCACTTGCCGCAGGCTGCCATCTGGGGAGAGGGGGAAATTGGGAGGCTGCAGGAGAGCTTCCACCCCCAGAAGCCCGCAGAGCCAGCCCAGTCCTCC